GTGGCCCTCCAGAAATATTGGACACCCCTGAAATACATCAAAGAGGAAATCAATGGAAAATAGCCCAAAATTGTTCATGGCATATTTATGTATTTAGCTATTCTAGCAAAGATATTTTTTCCTCAGATAATATCACTGGCCCGCCTGGATGGTTGGCAACTGAAGCTCAGCCAGAGGCAGCTGCATCAATATTAGCATACCAATTAGATCAGAATCCTTTCATAAGAAGAAGTGTGAATAATTTAAATAATAAATGAATTGTCATTGAAATGAATAGTGATGTAGTAGTGATGTTGAAAATGAAAGTGTTAATTGGCTAAAAAAGAAGCGAGTTAATAACATATGGACTATGTTTCCAGACTATAACTAAATCCTTCACTCTATAGTCTTAAGTAAACTTCAAACATTTTGTTGTACTATTGTGGTGATGAATCAAAATGTCAAAGTTTTTTGATTATTTATGTTCCGTCTATAGTGAACTCTGGAGCACTGGTTTGTTTCCGATTGGGCGAGAAACCTAGGACTATTTCACAAAAGTAGTTTTTGCAAAAAATTCACTATGCTGGAATTCTTTTAATGACGGACACAAACAAACAGCAGAACTGTTTTGCATCTCTGAGCAACACACTACAGTGTTTCGTTACTGAATCAATCAGGCTTTGAACGAATCAGTTGAATGAATGACTCAATAGGCGCGTTTCCATTACAGATTTGCGCAAAACTTTGGCGATATTTTATAAATATCGATAAAAAAGTATTGCGAAATGACGGCGTTTCCATTAACCAATGTTATGCGGCTAAAACGTAACCTATTGCCTCTCGCGATAAGTCATGGCAACGGATTTTGGTGGGATTTTGACGGATTTTGGCTATATTTATTCAAAGGAGGCTTATGCATGTATCTTTACAGAAGCAGCAAAGAGAGCCGCTTCAGAAACGTGCGTAGCGTGGCTGGAATAAACCATAGACTGTATAAAAACATTAACACAAGCACTGAGTGGCCGTAATCACCTTCAGTGACCGTATCAGTGCCACACTGCACCGCAGACGTGTGCAATGTAAATTGTCTAAGTATTAATAGTAGGGAAAGCCCCTTATACTGGAGCGCGGCCACTTATGAAGTGTTTCTTGGAGGTTATAGTACATTGAAGAATGATCATATGACTTTTTACATACGCCATGTGACCTGTAAATGCGAAAAAGCCGTTTCCATTGCAGTTTTGCGAATTAATCCTTTTTCGCATTGCCTGAAAATCCACCTCATGCGAGCGTAAAAACTTTTTTGCGATATATGGGTGTTTTTGCGAAATTGACGCGTTTCCATTAGGCGTATTTTCAATTCGCAATTTCAATTTGCGCAATTTGAAGGGTAATGGAAACGCGCCTAACGACACACATGCAGTGATTTGCTCAATATCACTTCTAATATCACTATTGAATAAAATACCAGCACAATAACATGCTCAGCAAAATATTGTCTAATTATCGCTATCGAGATATAATTTTTTTTGTCATTATCGCACACCCCTACATTTGTGCACTTTTTGTATTGATCACTGCCACATTTGACCATTCAGGCCGAGTGCTTTTGCCTTAGATCTCAGCAAGAGTACTAAAATTCTACCATGTTTCAGAGATGAAAAACACCATTTTAGCAATGTCAAGTAATTTACCATAGAAATATATAACTATTACCTTACCTGTTATTGCGCCACCTATAGGCCAATCTATATAACAATTGGTGTGCTTGTTTAGAATTATAAGTTGCATTTGCTTACCTAATTTTGTGAAGTTCTGAGGTTTCTCTTACAAGTTATATGGTTTTGGGTAAACTGGTCTAGAGTTGAGTGCTAGCACCACCCTGGAGACTAATCGCCACTCTGCATGCGCCGCACATACAGGGGTGTATTTCATCTGTGGCACAACCCCAGGGCACTTGCAGCAGCTGCTAAGCTAATACCAGTTCTCTGATATATAACCAGCGCCTCTGGGTTTTAATGTTGGAGAGAATGTGAAAATCGAAACGGTTTGTGAGAGAGAGAAACAGAAAGGTGGCCTGAATCCTCTGCAGCTATTCCATCTCGTTTGAGCCTAAAGTGCTTTGCTTACAAAAAAATGAATCTTGTTTTTTTAAAACATGTGGATATTCCAGAATCGCTAATCAGCTTTGCGCAAGAATGTCAGTGAAAATATATCGCCCTAACAATCTGAATTTCCCAAGGCATCTACCGAAAGCGATATCTCGTGTTTCTGGCTGGAATTTCATTATTCATTTCAAGGTTTGTTTGATCATGGCCCATGTCACCCCTAACTTTGAGTATCTATGTGATGTAACCGGGCTTGCGCTGTGTTTTTGCAGAAAGAGAAGTTGCAAGATCAGTCAAGAGTGTGCTGGGAATAAACGGAGCAGGAGAAAACAGATAGATCACTGTAGCGCTTCTCATCAACTCTCAGGATTAGTGAGAGGGTGAATGTGTTACCGAAGCCACTGAACGTGTAGAAAAATGGCACTCAGCTTGGAGGAAAACATTGGGTTCGGGGGAAGGTGAGGAAGAGAGTTAGATGAAGTGAAAGATCTGTGTCAGCCCATCAGTTTGGAGATACATTATTGAAGACTACAGTCGGGCACACGTAGTCAGTCCTCTATGGATCCTGTTTACCACGATGTATCTGCTGTAAGGTGCAGGATTAGTGTGAGCGGTGGCTGGGAGTTTGGAAATAGATGGTGCAGTGGAGATGAAGGTGTGTGGGAGCGAGGAACGGAGCATGTGATTTATAATGTAGTGGATAGCAGGTTCTGTCTAAAATGGTTTAGGATACATTCAATCCTTATATTGATTGGAAAACAACAACAAAAAGTGAGTGACATGAAAACAGACTAAACTGTGACTGAAAATGTAAGGATGCAATTGTGTGCGAGAGGAGCGATGTTATTGGGTGCTATGAGGAATAGACAGTGAGAGAAAGAAAAATGTGGATCCGAGGCGGATGGCTGGGTGTAGTTGGCAGAAAAAGAGGTGGGGAGACGGGTGGATAATAAACCAGAGTGGTTGTGTTAAGGGATTGCAAATTCAAAGTGCTCTGTGAAACGGAGAATGAAAATGAGACCCACACATTTATGACTCTCTCTCTCTCTCACACACACACACACACACACACACACACACACACACACGCACACACACACACTCCTTTCTATCTCTCTTTCACAGTTTCTCTCTCACACGCACATACATACAGTCTCTCTCTCTCTCTCTCTCTCTCACAGTCTCTCTCTCTCACACACACACACTCCTTTCTATCTCTCTTTCTCTCACAGTCTCTCTCTCTCTCTCTCTCTCACAGTCTCTCTCTCTCACACACACACACTCCTTTCTATCTCTCTTTCTCTCACAGTCTCTCTCTCTCTCTCTCACACACACACACACACACACACACACACACACACGCACACACACACACTCCTTTCTATCTCTCTTTCACAGTTTCTCTCTCACACGCACATACATACAGTCTCTCTCTCTCTCTCACAGTCTCTCTCTCTCACACACACACACTCCTTTCTATCTCTCTTTCTCTCACAGTCTCTCTCTCTCTCTCTCACACACACACACACACACACAC